ACAGGGGACACAGCTCAGGATCAAAGGGAGCTACTTCCTGCATTTTTAAGATAAACTTTATTGATCTCACAATGGAGATATTTTTAACAGTTGAAGCTTGTTGTCCGGATTCAAATAAAACCATAAACGTTAACCTTCAGCTGCCATTTTGAACCATGCAAGGGCTAGAACACTAATTACTGAAATTAATCATAATAATAACTATATTTTCACAATATTCAATGCTTTGACACAAATATTTTCAGACGGGAAAAAGGCCGAGAAGGAAGAAATCTCGGTCTTTTTGTAAAATATGTGATGTATCCGATAGAGCTTACAGTATTCTTATAGTGTATTTCATGAGTGACTGCGATTGGTCGGTTCCTGAAGTCCCAGCCGCAGCCTCAGGATCCGCACTTGTCAGATTCAGATTCATTTATTTGCCATTTGCAGTAAAACCACATTGGAAAAACTGTGCAAGACTACCCTAGTGTGCACCAGACAGAGAAGACGGCACACACCAGAGCTCTTTCCACGGCGCCATGTCTGGAATACACGGTGGAACTAATTATACACAACCATTTTCAACTTCCGCAGAACTTTACATCAGTGCGTTTTCCTCCGACTCTTTTCTTTCACGCAGGCTGCAAAACGCTTTTTAGTCGTCGATAATTGGCCTCATATTCAGAGAAACGAGAAGCATGTGAACGGAGTCAGACGTGCTCATGATCCAAGAGAGACAGAGAACAAGAGAGATCGCTGCAGAGTCGTCACGGAGTGTTTTGTGGACGGAGGTTTGCTTTGTTATTGAGACCAGGACACAGAGGCTTCCACAGTGAATCCGTTCAGTTATAATCGAGCAGTATTTTCATTCTTGGACATTCATCTTCTCAGTGTGTGACATTTATCAACATGTGTTCTATATTCTGTTTTAACTGTTGATTCTCTGATCTGTGTTGGTGATTTCAATGGTTTTGTTAAGTCTCTGAGATGAGGCTGTCGTGATTTAGGGCGATACAAGATTAAATTGTATTGTATATTTTTTTAATGTTCTGGAAAACGGCAGCAGGTCCTAAGTGTCTCTGAAACAGTGGTTGTTTTGTGCTTTACAATTTTTATTTTTATTCATTTTTTCTACCTGACATGTTGTACGGTGTGCATGGTTTTACACTGGTCCAGACCAGAGCAGAGAGGATTCATGATCCGAACCAAGTGGATCAGGTGAAAATCCACTGGAGGAATGCTAACTTCCTGAAAAATGCTAACGAAGCATTTAGCATCTAACTTTGGATATCTGATAATCACACTATACTTACTTTTTTCTCGTTCAATTCATCAATTTTTTCACACATAGAATCAAGTTTTGGTTTCCGAGTAAAAGTTCAAACACCAAAGTGATCTGTCAACGCTGGAAAAGGTTTAATCAGTGGTAGTTTTGGTTATAGGTTTGTTTTTTGGGGCCAGTGGTAATTTTAGTAGATTTAGTTTAATAATCAGATTAAATGTAAAATCTAGTCCAAGGGATTAACAAACTGAACTAGTCTCCAGTCCTCCAAATGTGTGTAGTTGTGTGTACACTGCAAAAAGGGACAAAGTCAAAAATGTCTAAAAGTTGGCAAAATGTATCTACATTTTAGCACATTCTGACTGAGCCTAAAAACAGGACTTTTCAATTGGACAAAGCAAAATGAATGGAACGATAAATTATTGAAATAAGACTTAATCTGTCTCATTGGCGAACAGTCAGAATGTTCTCAGATTAAGTACAAACCCATCAATTCAAGCAATTGTCACCTCATATTTGATCATTTATCAAGTGTGGATTTAAAGAAAACCGAAGGATTTAAGAAGAAAAAAAGTTCAGGATGACAAGGGACACTAACATCCCCACAAAATCTGATCTTTATGAAAGCTGTAGGTTCTCTGTAGGTTCTCTGTCAGGTTCTCTGTCAGGTTATCTGTCAGGTTCTCTGTCAGGTTCTCTGTCAGGCTCTCTGTATGTTCTCTGTCAGGTTCTCTGTCAGGTTCTCTGTCAGGTTATCTGTCAGGTTCTCTGTCAGGTTCTCTGTCAGGCTCTCTGTATGTTCTCTGTCAGGTTCTCTGTCAGGTTCTCTGTCAGGTTCTCTGTAGGTTCTCTGTTTGTTCTCTGTATGTTCTCTGTCAGGTTCTCTGTCAGGTTCTCTGTAGGTTCTCTGTCAGGTTCTCTGTACGTTCTCTATAGGTTCTCTGTCAGGTTCTCTGTACGTTCTCTGTAGGTTCTCTGTCAGGTTCTCTGTCAGGTTCTCTGTACGTTCTCTGTCAGGTTCTCTGTCAGGTTCTCTGTCAGGTTCTCTGTCAGGTTCTCTGTCAGGTTCTCTGTACGTTCTCTGTCAGGTTCTCTGTCAGGTTCTCTGTCAGGTTATCTGTCAGGTTCTCTGTCAGGTTCTCTGTCAGGCTCTCTGTATGTTCTCTGTCAGGCTCTCTGTATGTTCTCTGTCAGGTTCTCTGTCAGGTTCTCTGTAGGTTCTCTGTTTGTTCTCTGTATGTTCTCTGTCAGGTTCTCTGTCAGGTTCTCTGTAGGTTCTCTGTATGTTCTCTGTCAGGTTCTCTGTCAGGTTCTCTGTCAGGTTCTCTGTCAGGTTCTCTGTCAGGTTCTCTGTCAGGCTCTCTGTAGGTTCTCTGTATGTTCTCTGTCAGGTTCTCTGTCAGGTTCTCTGTAGGTTCTCTGTATGTTCTCTGTCAGGTTCTCTGTCAGGTTCTCTGTATGTTCTCTGTCAGGTTCTCTGTAGGTTCTCTGTCAGGTTCTCTGTCAGGTTCTCTGTATGTTCTCTGTCAGGTTCTCTGTAGGTTCTCTGTCAGGTTCTCTGTCAGGTTCTCTGTCAGGTTCTCTGTAGGTTCTCTGTCAGGTTCTCTGTAGGTTCTCTGTCAGGTTCTCTGTAGGATCTCTGTAGGTTCTCTGTAGGTTCTCTGTCAGGTTCTCTGTAGGTTCTCTGTAGGTTCTCTGTCAGCTGAGGTCGAGCTGTTTTAGTTTACATTGAGTTCTATGGGACTTTTTTCTGTGTAGCCCATGTGAATGTAGTCTGCAGTACCACATCGCCCCCTGTGGCCATAGGTGGGACAGCTGTAAGTTAGTAATACCCTATCCAGTTATTATTATAGATCCATGAGCTAATCTCACTGGTAAAGTACCATGTGGCGCAGAACTAAAAAAGGTCTCGTTATGATTCTCAAATCATTAACGACAAAACAAGGAATAAAACCAGGATTTCTATCTTTGTGAAAAAGGTGTTGGTTATAGATTTGTTGTTGACAAAACTCTTGTCAACAGTAACAGGGACCATAACAGTCTATTCAGCTGTTATGGTCCCAGCTGGATTCGTCTGCATATCTGGCAACCTGAGTCAGGGAGAGTGGGAGAGGCTGCAGTACCACTTTTGGACACATGTTTACACACTGCTACTTTAAAGTGATGCTGGTTTAATCCCATGGACTCACTTTGATGACACTACACACACAAACTGTTTGTATCTGAAAAAGACTTCTACAAAGCACACGGACAGCACAGCGACGCTAACACCGGCACCAACGTGACCGACACGGGACGACACGCATGCACCACATATATACAACGCCCGGCGAACGCTCACAGTCTGGATTGAGCTCAAATATTGCTGTGGACCTGTGCTCACGGTTACAGAAGAACGCATTGCTTTTGTACATGGCTACTGGGTAAAAAGCCACTTGTGCTGGGTTTGGGGAGAGCTAACCGTTGCATTGACCTGGCAGAGCCTAAAGGAGAGCGACAAGGACTCAAAGTGGGCAGTGTTGTAGGCAAGACCAGTGGGAGGTATAGAAAAACTGTGTACAATGAGTTTGGTCCATAGAGTTTGCATAAGTTATTGCATAAATGTCTGTTATGGTACATTAAATTCCACAATGGCACGTCTCTGGCTCCAACATGAATCCGTAGCATGCTAGTTTATGACAGCTTTATCGAGATATCTGGTTTTTCTATAGCCGACACATGAAAGATGCAGGTTCTGACTTCGCTTTCGTACAATTGTTCAGTATAGAAGAACCAAATGACCTCATCCGTATCATGTTTACAACACTATTTAAAGGGGACATACTGTGACGTGCAAACTTAACTTTTCACAGCTTTTAAAATCAAAATAAATACATTTTTATCGCCCCGAAATAACAGCAATCATTGTGAATTGCGTCAAATAAAAAGAAAATGATAAGCTTTGGTGTTTTTTCAATCTGGCCCTGGACCAATTTTGTATGACACCCATAGACTGTATCTTAGGAGTGGACTTTGAACAGGGAATTTGTTCCAATGGAGTTAGTTTAGCGCCAACCCTTGCCTTAGCCCTAGCCTTAACTAGCTTAGCAGTTCCAAACCATAGCCCTAACTTTACCAGATTGTGACTCTAAAAAACAAATTTAAATAAAAGAAATAGCAACAGAATGTGAATATTAACTTTTAGATTTTAGTGTCCTAAGGCAAGCTGGCGTTTGTAGTACTCTGACAACATTGCTAGCTAACACAATTGCTAAATATCCGCGGCTAATCACAGCTTGTCGTTAGGAGAGGACGTGGCTATTTCTTCAAACCGGTTGCGCCCGCTTCTTTTAGCTAGCATGTTAGCATTGACCACCCATACACAGTCTATGATGTCGCCCCAGGGTACGTGAAAGATGGAATTAATAGTTTTTTTCCCCAACAAGGGATATTGGTGCCCCGTCTACCCTGGATAGGGCGTACACAGGGCACAAAAGGTTGAGCGAGGAAACAATGTAACAAGATCAAAAGCTGTGACAAGTCTGTTTTGCATGTTCTCTCCCTTCCTAATGACATGTATTGACTTGCCTTATGTGTTTACAGGGCAACATAAAGCAGCGACCAGGGTTTCACAGGTCAGTCTTGGCTACAACACAGCGCCACTAGAGACACACACACGCACGCTTACACACACACACACACACACACACACACGCTTGTTTTGACAGTGTTTTTGATGTGGACTTGCGGTGCCACTTCATGAATACGTCGTCCTTCTTTGTCTCCTCATCTCCAAGTCCGTCTGTGACCGTCTGCGCCCCCAGATCTCAGCATCTTCCGTCCGGGCCACGCAAAAATATCCCAAAAACAACACTTCGCTACATGGACAATTGAGGATCTGAGGAGAAAACAACAACACTGGATTTCAATGCATCTGCCACTTTCAAAGGAGAACGGATGAAAGCTGTTGATTTGAAGAGAAATCTATTTATAGTCCAAGTCTTACACATGTGAAGGCTATAAGGGTCCTGTGTCTCGATGGATTTCACACAAATACAAACAAAAAGAGCCGTGTCCAGCCACTTTCTCAAAGAAAAGCGTGAAATAATCGTCCTTTTCTTGTGTTATTTACAGCGTGGGACATGAGGGTAAAGTGAGCGTCCGACCTCCTTCCTTTTCTCTCAAGGTGCAAATGCATGCGCTTGCACTTTAAGTCTGTAATGTCTTTTTTTATCCTTTTTTTTAACGATACCATTGTTCCACAGAGTCCTTCGTGCCCTTTAGAAAGCACCTCCGAAAGAAACTTGACCCAGAAAGGCTGCTTCTCTACAGCGACTGACGATGGGTGGGCTCATTCTGATGTCGGATGTACAAATTCCAAAGCATTTATAAGAAATTGCTCAGTGGAGATTTTGTCTAGCGTCGCATAATAAGTTGGTTAAGCGCTGGTAAAGGATGAGGTAACAGCGGGATAATCACAGTCAGCAGGATAAAACTTTGCTGACAATAAATATGTCACTGCTTCAGCTGAAAAAAATCATTATTAAAGGAGGTCTTTCTGTGTGACCTTAAAGGAGAACTACCCCCCAGTGCCCAGCATGACTCCGCCCACATGAACAGCCTGACTCCGCCCACATGGACATTTGAAAATTCTCTGTAAAAAAAAGTGTTGCCCAAAGGACCAGGGGACAAGGAGGGGGACTGAGAGTTGGGCGTGGTCACACAAAAAGCAATCAGAGAGTTGTCATTTCTGGCTCCACACTTGTTTTCACACTAAGATAATTGTAGAGCTACACGCCTGAACCTAAGCCACAGAACTATCTCAGCAGCAGTGGCTTCAACAGATGTAATTCAATTTTAATCCACTAGATGTCGCCAGAATACTCAAACTCGCTGCTGGGGCGTGTGTGAGCCTTGGCTGCTTTTATACGACGGGCACAAAGTGATGTCACACTGCACTCCAGAGCCAATGGAGAGGCCAGGCACCAAATTCAAATGTAGTGCCACCAAAAAACTAGAGAGGGCGCCACACAGACTGTTTTAGGCTCAAAAGTGAGATAATTTGCACTAAAATGTAAAAAAGAAAAAAAATGACACTGTAGAGAGCACTATAAGAAACATATTTGGGTTTAGTTGTCCTTTAACTCTAATATAAACCAATAATTATTACATTTCTACCATAGTCAGTGAGGATTTCATTGTTTCATATCACCATAGCAAGAGGCATCACCATAGCAACACCCAAACTGTTAACGTACACTTTTAAGTTGTAACGTTACTCTTAAAGGTCTATAACACAGCAGGAAGTTACAGTAAGTTCTAAAACCTGCCGAATAAATATTGTTTTGTAAAAATCACAAGTTATATGTAGAAAAACGTTCCTTCTTTCTCCTGTTTGTGTGTGTGCATCTACATTTTTCGTCATGGCAACCGTTGCTAAGGAGGATCTTGGCTCATAAACTTGTCCCTTTCCTTAAACATGTTTTTGAGAGTGTAGAGGACCAAATACATACATATATTGAACATATCTTTACAGTGCAGACTTACTTTAGTATAGACTTAAACTAGAATTATGTTTAGATTAGGTTAGCCTCGGCTTCAAATTAGCCAAAGTGTAAATCTAAAATTAAACTTCAGACTTGAGTAGAAAGTATACATATTTCAGAACAAAACCTCTCTCAATATTGTAGCATTGAAAAAAAGGAGATATATGGGTAAAAATAAGAGACCTGTAACAGCTGTGAGAGAACCAGAACGTTTTTCTGTAGTTATTTGAAGCAAGTTTATAAAATAAGGTAAAAGGCAAATTTCCTTAAAGAATACGTTTAAAGGCAAACGGGGAAATCCGAGCTAATTTATACAGACTAATGAGTTGTACATCCGACAGCCGAAGTCTCAGCCCGGTCTTGGTCTCCACAAAAAAACACAATGCACACGAGGATCCACTGGGGGGCGCTGTTACATGGGACACACTTTGTTGTCCGGCAGCTGAGCGAAGGAGCCGCACTCGGTCGGGGAGTCGTCGGACTTCATGGAGCTGGTTCCGAGCGGGATGCGGGCGGCGATGGCGGACATCTCGCCGGTCTGGCTCTCGGCGGTGATCCCCGGTCGCTCCGATGTAGCGTTGAAGTTTTCTGAGAGGGCTCCGGTGAAAAGCTGGATCAGGCACTTCCTGAACTGGAAACACCACACAAGCAAAAATATACAATTTAGACTCAAAATGTGTTTTTTTTCTCACCACTTTTTAAAGGAGGGCCCTAATCTGTCATCATTAAAGGGCCCTAATCTGTCATGATTAAAGGGCCCTAATCTGTCATCATTAAAGGGCCCTAATCTGTCATGATTAAAGGGCCCTAATCTGTCATCATTAAAGGGCCCTAATCTGTCATCATTAAAGGGCCCTAATCTGTCATCATTAAAGGGCCCTAATCTGTCGTCATTAAAGGGCTCTAATCTTCCATCATTAAAGGGCCCTAATCTGTCATGATTAAAGGGCCCTAATCTGTCATGATTAAAGGGCCCTAATCTGTCATCATTAAAGGGCCCTAATCTGTAATCATTAAAGGGCCCTAATCTGTCATAATTAAAGGGCCCTAATCTTTCGTCATTAAAGGGCTCTAATCTGTAATCATTAAAGGGCCCTAATCTGTCATGATTAAAGGGCCCTAATCTGTCGTCATTAAAGGGCTCTAATCTGTCATGATTAAAGGGCCCTAATCTGTCGTCATTAAAGGGCTCTAATCTGTCATCCCAGGCCGGTCATCATCACAGGCCCTCCAGTGAGTCCTGGGCCCTGCCTCTAAAGTCCTTCATAAACCTTTGAAAGGTGTCTGACTTGTTGAAATGTCTTATTCGCAGATGTTACCACACTGTTTGCCTCAGGAGATAATCTACAACAACTCGTTACTCATGTGGCCAGAGAACTATCCAGACTCAAGCAATGGTTTGACCAAAACAAGTTATCCTTCAAGCTAAGTAAAACCAAATATATTATTTTCAGTAATCGTCCAATTAAAACCAACATAAGTCTAAAGATTGATGATGTGGTGTTAGAGAGGGTGAATTAATACAAATTTCTTGGAATTATACTAGATCACAAATTGTCCCTGAAACCACACATTGCTCATGTACAAACTAAACTGTCTAAAACAACAGCTATAATACACAAAACCAAGTTCTATCTAACTCCAGCCTCGCTGTACATTCTGTTTGTTCTCTGGTTGTTCCAAACATCTCCTACTGTGTAGAAATATGGGGGCCTACAACACAAATACAAAACCTGTTTTTATTGGAATAGTCAATCACTCACCGTAAAACGAAACGACAAACACAATATTCTGCAAATATAAAGCGATACAATGTTACAACTTAAGCCTAGTTTATACTCGCGAGGCGTGGAGCTTACGGAGGTGACGTGACGTCACTTGCGCAACGCGTTGGTCACAGCAAGGCCCTTACGTTGCCTGTCCTGCAGCATCGAAATTTTCTAACTACGCAAGGGTCGCCGCAAGGAATCTCCGCTGTGATTGGTCCGTGTGTGAGAGAAGCTCCGCTGTGATTGGTCCGTGTGTGTGTATTGGAAGGAAGCACGGAGCGGCTGCAGCAGGAGCATGGACGAGGCACTATGGAGCAGAGAGCTTTGTGCTTCCAAGGAAAAGCAGTTTGGGCTCAGAGCCTGATATACAGGAGACAGTGGACTATCTAACATATATATAACTTATATCTAACATATATATAACTTATATCTAACATATATATAACTTATATCTAACATATATATAACTTATATCTAACATATATATAACTTATAAACTGTTCCTGTCTTGTTTGAATCGTAGCTGCGTTTGTTGCTTTCCTCCTGCACTCGAAAATCGTTCATGTTTGTCTCAGATATTTACCACTATTATTGTTTTGCTGTTTGTGCTGAAAACTATTTAATAATAACCATGTTTCCAACAAGAACTGTGTCTTTATTCACAGAATCACAGTTGAAATGACTTATAAAATAATGAATCCATAAAACTATCACATAAACCTACAGTAGAAACACGTGTAATGAGCTCAAACAGCTTTGTTTGTTATTGTTGTTCTGAAGAGGACAAAGTAGCAGCGTTAATGGGACCGCTCCTGTGTGATCGCCCTCATGTGGTTTGTTGTGGGATTACAACATTCTCCTCAAAACTCCGTAAGGGGAACGCGCCAGTATAACATCAATTGTGCTTACGTAGGTCCACCACAACCGCTAACGTAAGCCACGCCGCGCAAGTATACACTAGACTTAAGTCACTCTGAAGACTGTAATCTTCATGTACAGAGTAAATAAGAAAATACTGCCTCGAAATATACTCTGTATGTTTGAAAACAGGAAAAAGATTTATAACCTGAGAGGAGAAAACTTATTTAAGAAACAGTCGGTCAAAACCAACTTCAAAACGAACACCATTTGGGTCGAAGGGTCGACTTGTGGAACGGTCTCAGGATTGATCTCAAGAGGAGCAATTCCATTCATTATTTAAAAAAAACATTTAAAAGAAGAATTTAAGTAAGTATACGTTTTTGTAAGTTATGTTTGGTCTACTGATGTGCACATAAAAGAAATTGCTAAACTGAATAAGACAAACACTAAGTTATATTTATAACAATAACAAAAGTGTATTCCTGTATGTACATATATATATGTATGTGTTTGTGTAGCGATACGTGTTTTTATATACTTATATGCTTGTGTATGTGTATCAATGTAACCTGTATCATTTGACTAATTCAGTTGGGTAGTTGTTTTTTGTTGTTGTTAACAGGGCACACTATAAGCCACGGCTTCAGCCTACACCTTTTCTGGTTACCTTCCTTATTTGCAACGAAACAGACATGTATATTTCGATTTGTTTGTAACCAAATAAAGGTAAAACCTGGACCTCGAGGCCATAGCTGTTTGTTCACCATCAGCTTCAGGCCCAGAGTGTGAAGTCCGGATCAGTGGTGTGTTTGGGAAGAACCACAGAGCCTCAGGGAGCGCTGCCTCTGACGCCTTTAGATGAAAGAATACTGCTCCATTCAAACACTAAACACCGATGCTACAAAACAAGGCAACAGATGGATACGTCCACAAGTCTCAACTCAATAGATATGTTTACATTCTGTGCAGAAAATTGGCACTGAGTGTATGTTATTATCTGAAAATCATAAAAACACAAAGTTAAACTATGACTTCTTTAGCCTGTCACTTAATACTCAGTACTTTTTCTGTTTTCGTCCATTCAAATGCTGTACAAATGTAATTTTTTTGGTGATTGGTTTGGTTTTCTAAAGTTATGGCAGAAAATCTTGTAGAAAAACATCATCATGGATCCAGTCTCATCACCAGAGAATAAAGAGGAATCGATGAACTGGGAGGAGGGGCCCTTTCTACTCCCGCACACTTGAGATACTGAGATTTTGGGGCTACAGAGAGCAAATAAGGAAATAAGCAAATAATAAACACTTTAGGTACATTTATCCATATCAATAAAGTCTATCTTATCTTATCTTATCCAACTGAGCCACTGCTGCCCCAAAATTATAATGATTTATTTTTTGCGGCTACAGACATCGGGTCGTGTCCATTCCGATTTAAAAACACATAATGGCTTGACCACTTTTGGAGTTTAGGGATCGTGACAAAGCAGGTAACTTGGTCTCCTTTTTAATGCCACGTTTTATAACTGTATTGTGCAACTGTTGAAGGTGTCGGCCATTTTGTTTTATGGGCCAACCCTGTGGGCGGGGCCATCTCATTTTAAGGGTGAACCTCATCAGGGAAGACACACCAGTTTTAAGGAACCAAAATAATTCCAACTTTAAAAAAACCAAAAGACATAATTGAATCGTATGAATGTGAGTTTATTCCAGTCTGAAGGAGCCCAACTTCTTTAAAAACTCTTGGAACAGAACAGGTGAGACAATCCGAGCTTCGGAGTGAAAAAAGGTGCGGAGACAGGGACAAAAAACTGTTTTAAATTCTGCTGACAACTAAAATAATTGAATTGAAATAATAAGTTCTGCCGTCTCACTTTGACACTCGGACCAGCTTTTCCATTGGGACTTTTCCTCACAGTAATTTGATTTTTTTTTCATTTGAAGTCACATTCTCAATGGCAGCAGCAGCCCAACCCTTAATGCCACTGACCACCTCCGTCACTAAAACAAAGGAGGTGTTGAAGGCCTGTAATTCTTGGAATGTTATTTTAGCTCCTGCAAACTCGTGTGAGGGCAACAACACGATCATTGTTTTCCACATTAAAGCCTGTAATTGAGCGCCGTTTGGCTCGGCGTGGCACCCAGCCCGAGACCCCCTGGGGACAGACTCTGCGTGGTTCCTCCCCCCCTCCTGACCCCTCCAACCACGCTAACGATTTTCAAGCCTGCCAATAGCTGCTCGCGTCATTACAAATCCACTTGCGGTACATAACGGCCGTAGTGGGGCTTGTGTAACAGTGAGAGTAAGATCCCGGGTTGAAAAAAAAAGCGATTCCTGCAGAGAAATAGGCTGTAAAATGTCACGTTAACGACACCGAGAGCGGAATTACAGTAGCCTCAGACGTCCAGCCGAGCGATGTGTAAAACAGAGCAGGAGTGAAGGGTGCGGGTTCAAAGGACGAGGAAGAAGACTTTAAACAGATTGTATCGAGCCACATGGACAGAGTGGACTAGAACAGGGACTCTGCTACAAGCCGAGAGCCAGACAGATTTATTAAAAAATATTCAAATGATAGAAAAACCTGTAAAACAAAGACCTAGCACAGTGGATCGTGTTTTATTTAAAGATTAAATTAATAATCCAATATTTTTGTGGCTAAATCTGTAATTTCAAGTGTACTTTAAATGTGTAGTTGTTAAACCGAATTCCTCCATTGGTTCAACTGGAGAAATTCAAAAGTATTCTTCTTCTTCTTCCAGACATTAGTCCAAAAGAGGTCTATGTCCATACATGCTGACTGCAAATAATTACTTTAGTCTAGTAATTGTTAAGGGCCCTAATCCGTCATCATTAAAGGGCCCTAATCCGTCATCATTAAAGGGCCCTAATCCGTCATCATTTAAGGGCCCTAATCTGTCATCATTAAAGGGCCCTAATCTGTCATCATTAAAGGGCCCTAATCCGTCATCATTAAAGGGCCCTAATCTGTCTTCATTAAATGGCCCTAATCTGTCATCATTAAAGGGCCCTAATCTGTCATCATTAAAGGGCCCTAATCTGTCATCATTAAAGGGCCCTAATCTGTCATCATTAAAGGGCCCTAATCTGTCATCATTAAAGGGCCCTAATCCGTCATCATTAAAGGGCCCTAATCTGTCTTCATTAAATGGCCCTAATCTGTCATCATTAAAGGGCCCTAATCTGTCATCATTAAAGGGCCCTAATCTGTCTTCATTAAATGGCCCTAATCTGTCATCATTAAAGGGCCCTAATCTGTCATAATAATAAACTGCCCTTTAACTGATAACAGTCGTTCAGAGATATTTGAATTTCTAAATTACTTTCCAGCCTCTAAATCTTGTTATTGTTTTCATTTCGATGTCCCGCCCTCCACCGTTTCACCAATCAGAAAGTCTGTGATCCGGGCGCCAGAACTCACCGCGTGGAGCTGATCTCACTGGTAAAGTACCATGTGGCGCAGAACTAAAAAAGTCTCGTTATGATTCTAAAATCATTAACGACAAAACAAGGAATAAAACCAGGATTTCTATCTTTGTGAAAAAGGTGTTGGTTAAAGATTTGTTGTTGACAAAACTCTTGTCTATTCAGCTGTTATGGTCCCAGCTGGATTCGTCTGCATATCTGGCAACCTGAGTCAGGGAGAGTGGGAGAGGCTGCAGTACCACTTTTGGCCACATTCTTACAAACTGCTGCTTTAAGTGCTTAGATTACACTAGTCACATTACATCATACACACGCAGATTGCACACACACACACACACACAAACACACAGGTTGTTAGCATACCACTCCGTCTGCTTGACCCACTTGCCAGCTTAGATTTACTATGCTGCATAAAGATAGAATTAGCATGTTATTACACTACACAACCTGCATTTATGAATAGAAAACACTCGAGCGACGCAACCACACGTTTCGTTCCAATCAGGTCAAGAGTCTATTGCGGCGCATGGGATTCTGTCACAAGTTTTCACATGGATGTATTGTTGTTATTGTTTGGCCTCTGTCACATCTTCAGATCCGATTGTTCAGACAGAAAAGTGAAAAATACAGAACCAGCCAATCAGATCTCAGTCTGCAGCAACTCTCTCTTATTTTTAACACTATCACAGATTTCCGAGGAAGACATTATGTTGTGGTCTGATTTCATTACAACTTTTTATGTTGGGACAAACACAGTGTATTAATTCTATGTAGGTAAAAAGTAAAAGGTGCTAGTGATTGAGCAAAGTATCAAAAAGTTCAAAAAGCACTATTTATATTATACTTGCTCAAATACGTCTCAATACAACAAGTTAAAAAGAGTTTGTCAATAAAGTGGCACTAACTGTGTGGAAAAAATAAGAAAATTATCCATTCTCAAAAAGTCAAATAATGACTCACAGGGCTTTGCAAAATAAAAAAACTAAATGGCTGCTGTGGTGTTTTCCGCTTGATTCGTTCACATCATTTTACTTTGGTGCAAAAATAACATGCAGTTTTATGTTCCAGAGCTTTGAGTTTTGGTTGTGCTTCAGTAGGATCCACGGTGGACACACGGGAAAGACACGGGAGAGACACGGGAGAGACATGGGAAAGACACGGGAGAGACACGGGAGAGACACGGGGAAGACATGGGAGAGACACAGGGAAGACATGGGAGAGACACGGGGAAGACATGGGAGAGACACAGGGAAGACATGGGAGAGACACGGGGAAGACATGGGAGAGACACGGGAGAGACACGGGGAAGACATGGGAGAGACACAGGGAAGACACGGGAGAGACACAGGGAAGACACGGGAGAGACACGGGAGAGACATGGGAGAGACACGGGGAAGACACGGGAGAGACATGGGAGAGACACAGGGAAGACATGGGAGAGACACAGGGAAGACATGGGAGAGACACGGGGAAGACACGGGAGAGACACGGGAAAGACACGGGAGAGACATGGGAGAGACACGGGAGAGACACGGGGAAGACATGGGAGAGACACGGGGAAGACATGGGAGAGACACGGGGAAGACACGGGAGCGACACGGGAGAGACACAGGGAAGACATGGGAGAGACACAGGGAAGACATGGGAGAGACACAGGGAAGACACGGGAGAGAAACGAGGAAGACATGGGAGAGAAACGGGAGAGACACGGGGAAGACATGGGAGAGACACGGGAGAGACACGGGGAAGACATGGGAGAGACACAGGGAAGACACGGGAGAGACACAGGGAAGACACGGGAGAGACATGGGAGAGACACGAGGAAGACATGGGAGAGAAGCGGGAGAGACACGGGAGAGACACGGGGAAGACATGGGAGAGACACGGGAGAGACAGGGGAGAGACACAGGGAAGACACGGGAGAGACATGGGAGAGACACGAGGAAGACATGGGAGAGAAACGGGAGAGACACGGGGAAGACATGGGAGAGACACGGGAGAGACACGGGAGAGACACAGGGAAGACGCGGGAGAGACAAAGGAGAAACACGGGGAAGACACGGGAGAGACACGGGGAAGACATGGGAGAGACACGGGGAAGACACGGGAGAGACACGGGGAAGACACGGGAGAGACATGGGAGAGACACGGGAGAGACACGGGGAAGACATGGGAGAGACACGGGGAAGACATGGGAGAGACACGGGGAAGACACGGGAGAGACACGGGAGAGACACAGGGAAGACATGGGAGAGACACAGGGAAGACATGGGAGAGACACGGGGAAGACATGGGAGAGACACAGGGAAGACATGGGAGAGACACAGGGAAGACACGGGAGAGACACAGGGAAGACACGGGAGAGACACGAGGAAGACATGGGAGAGACACGGGGAAGACATGGGAGAGACACGGGAGAGACACGGGGAAGACATGGGAGAGACACGGGGAAGACATGGGAGAGACACGGGAGAGACACGGGGAAGACATGGGAGAGACACGGGGAAGACATGGGAGAGACACGGGGAAGACACGGGAGAGACACGGGGAAGACACGGGAGAGATACGGGGAAGACATGGGAGAGACACGGGAGAGACACGGGGAAGACACGGGAGAGACACGGGGAAGACATGGGAGAGACACGGGAGAGACACGGGGAAGACATGGGAGAGACACGGGGAAGACATGGGAGAGACACGGGGAAGACATGTGAGAGACACGGGGAGGACATGGGAGAGACACGGGAGAGACACGGGAGAGACACGGGGAAGACACGGGAGAGACACGGGGAAGACACGGGAGAGACACGGGGAAGACATGGCAGAGACACACGGGAGAGACACAGGGAAGACATGGGAGAGACACGGGGAAGACATGGGAGAGACACGGGAGAGACACGGGGAAGACATGGGAGAGAGACACGGGGAAGATATGGGAGAGACACGGGGAAGACATGGGAGAGACACGGGGAAGACATGGGAGAGACACGGGGAAGACATGGGAGAGACACGGGGAAGACATGGGAGAGACACGGGGAAGACATGGGAGAGACACGGGGAAGACATGGGAGAGACACGGGGAAGACACGGGAGAGACACGGGGAAGACATGGGTGAGACACGGGAGAGACACAGGAGAGACATGGGAGAGACACGGGAGAGACACGGGGAAGACATGGGTGAGACACGGGAGAGACACAGGAGAGACATGGGAGAGACACGGTAGAGAAGAGACATGGGTGAGACACGGGGAAGGTCCGCCCTTGGTAGATTATGAACACATTACAGATGTGCGTTTGCTGAGCTGTGGTCAAAGCGGCTGTCATTACGAAGTGGCCACAGCTGCCCCGGGTCAGAATGCTGTCATTACGAAGTGGCCACAGCTGCCCCGGGTCAGAATGCTGTCATTACGAAGTGGCCACAGCTGCCCCGGGGCAGAATGCTGTCATTACGAAGTGGCCACAGCTGCCCCGGGGCAGAATGCTGTCATTACGAAGTGGCCACAGCTGCCCGGGGCAGAATGCTGTCATTACGAAGTGGCCACAGCTGCCCCGGGTCAGAATGCTGTCATTACGAAGTGGCCACAGCTGCCCCGGGGCAGAATGCTGTCATTACGAAGTGGCCGCAGCTGCCCCGGGTCAGAAT